TAAATTTCCAAACACAACATTTCAAAGGAAAAACTCCTCTATTCTGTCTTTACTTTCTTCCCAAGATGTATAACCACATGTGGACATGGGTCTGCAGAATGCCAAGATTTCTGTAGGAATGCAGGCAAGGAGAAAATGGCAGAGTCAGCCAGAACAAACTCTCGATGGCAAAGGCAGAGAGAAACCATTTGCAGAATGCAAACTGCTCTATGTTTGAAAGAAAGCAATAACCAAGAAGTACCAAATCTGAAAGACTTCTCGGAGTTGGTTATAACACACAAAGCAAGGAGAATGGTGTGCCAGAACATGCATCTGTGCACACATCCATATACCCACCAGCTATACAAGTATAACCACAACAAGTTCCCTCCCACAGCAATTTTATTTTTGTTCTTTAATGTCACCATTTTCTTTAATTCAGTGTTTTCTTTAACCTAAAATTACAACTAAAAATTCAACTGAAATACATATTTTGTTTTCCTGTGCAGAAGAGGAGCAGATATTTAAGGTCTATTCATCTACCCTGCAATTCTTGATCAGGTTGTGATCTCTGCTGTTCTACATGGAAAAGGGGCTTTAACACATTTGAAAAATATATGATATTAGCTCTTAGCCTGAGATGGACTATTTTGGATCTGTGCCACAGGACAGAAGGCAAACAAGTCGGGGCATGCATTTCCCCAAGCAAAAGTTTAATTCCTATTTCCATGTTTCTGTGAGGACACCTGCAGACAAGGCTGGGTGGTAGTCAGAGCCCAGAGCTGGAACAGACCAAGACATGAACAGTGCAAATTGGCTACAACCTGGAAGGAAATCCACTAAGCTTGGACATAAAACACAGTCCCATTCCACAGAATATTATCATGGATCAGAATCTCTGTAAGGATTTTCTTGACTAGGAATAATTTGCATTCATGTGTATTTTTTACTATTGTTGACATTAAAAGCACAGTCTTGTGCTTGATAATAAAAAAATGTAGTTTATACCCTGTGCAAGGAAGCCTTATCAAAGAAATATAATCACTAACTCCTGAAATCTCAAAAACTTATGGTCAAAAAGGACTTAAAGAAGTTTATAATTTAGAAGCTAAGCAATGCCAATAAATTCTGAAATATTACAAGAAATAAACATCTTAGTCAAAAGTGTGAAAACAAGAATCATAAATATTTAGAATCATAAATCATGTAATCATAGAAAAGCTGGGGCTGGAAGGAACTTTTAGAGGTCATCTATTCCAACCTGCCTGCAATGAACACGGACAACGTCCATTAGATCAGGTTGCTCAGGGCCTTGCCCAATCTGACATTAAATGTTTCCAGGGATGGGGAATCCACCACCTCTGTGGGCAACCTGTTCATGTGTTTCACCACCCTCACTGTAAAAAAATCTCTTCCTTTTATCTAATAATATGTTATTAAGAACTCGCAAGGTTCTGATTTGGGGCTATAATTAGATATATAATATTGAGCAATTACAGAATTTATTACTATAGCCATGAGAGCACTGCATTTATGAAACCAGAAGATACTACAGGACAACATGTAACATTTTAAACAGCATAAATGAGGATGATGAGGATACTGGGAAACACACAGGTTTAAGCAGTAACAGTAATGATGCACACCTAGACACCACTACTCTGCTACTGTTACTTGGCTTTTGAATTGTTCTTCTATCAGTATGGAAGAAATATCAGCACTTTATGAACCTGAGCAGTTCGCAATATTTCAACCAGCAGAAAACAACACAACCCTCCTCCATTTTCTTCCTGTGATTCATCATTGCGAAGACATTCTTCAAAAATGCTTTTCTGTATCAGGAATCCTTCTGCACAAGTGAAGTGGTGAGAGTCAGCAAAATCTTGACAATCAGCTAACAGAAATGAATTCAAAATAATTTGTTGTGCGAAAGTTGCTTGAAAATACACTTGATGAAAATGCTGGAAATACAGTTCCTATTGTACCTGAAGATAAGATTTAAATATAAGATTTTGAAATCCAATGCGAGAGGAGAAGATTCATTTATTAGTCTAATAGATATTTTATGATTACTCACCACAATATATTATCTTTTTAATCAAATCAAATAGAAGAGGTCATAAAGAACAGGAACTGGAAGTATTATTAGAAAAAATATCCAAGTATTATCAGTGCCTTAGAGACAGGCTTAAAAGAGGTAAGAATGATTTACCCCCACGCAAGGGCTTTTTTTTTATGTATGAAAAGTCTTTAACACTACTGAGATAGCAAACTCTAACCAAAATTCTACTTGGGTAGAATAATAAAATCTTACAAATTCTAACCTGAAATACTACCTTTCTAGTGAGGATATAAAATATGTTTCTTCATTCACCACATAAGAATATATAAAAAAAAGAGGAAATAATTTCTTGGGAATACATCTATTGTTTGTGGCAGCATATGCTCCTAAGTAGACAATAAATTTTCAGCAGAGAGAGGATTTTTTCATTTTATTTTGGAACCACTAGAACAGAAGGTTTTGATCAAAGCCAGTTTCACATTTGAGAGAGAATTTTTATTCTCAGTATATTCTTTCTCAAACCTTTTAACTTCTCATCTTCCTTCTCCCTCACCCAGACTAAGAATCTTTCAAAGATAATACTACCTTTCATCAAATTATTTAGAATAAAAAACTTCAGAAATACATTGCACTACTTGACTTAGCAGTGTGTCTAGAAATTGAAGATACATGAAAAACAGTGGAATGTCAGTCATACCAGACAGATCAGTAGTTGAGCTAGAAGTCAAAAGACTAATACCACAGGCATCTCAGAAGAAGTTTAGACATGCTGGGCAGATGGTTTTGCTTTAATGAGAGAATACAGATAATCAGAAAATTATTTTAGTCAATAGACCTGCTGAAAGGTGACTTTGTACACAAAATCACCACTCAAAGGACAAACTCAAACCATGCTCCATCATATTACATGCTAATATAAATTACTCTAAAGTAATTCAGTAGTTTCACTGAATTTACTGAAAGTTGTAATACTATTTCAGGGATACACCATTGATACTTTTAAATAGGGATTTTTTATGTTGCTTTGATTTACTTCTCTTTTGAAAGGAAGTTAGATGACTATCTCTAAAAGAGATATACTTTTATATTAAACTTGATAGGTATTATAATTAGTGATGAACAACAGAAAGTGACTCTCTCATGATAAAGAAAGCATCATCATGCCATCCAAAGTATCACTGTATTACTAAATGTTTTATACACAAGGGTCAATGGGACCTTAAGGGGCTGTGGGTTCTGCCTGCCACTGACTCAACTTACTCTGGGAAGATGGGAGACAAAATAAAAGAAGCGTAAAAGAAATAGGTAGTACTGTGGCCTCAGTATGTACAGGTAGTGCTGATGTTGCAGCAGTATCTGCATACAAGAATTCCAGAAGAGTTTCGTACTACATAGAATGAAGAAAAACACACAGCAATAGAAACTACTGTGGCAGTGATATATTTTCCATCAGGAGCTATCACATGACAAGGGTACTTACCATATTTGTGTGGCACATAAAGAGAGCTAGATGAAAGTTTTATGTTCATAATCAGTAACTAATGTGGAGGAAAAAAATTTGCTATCTTATGTTATCAAAACCAAACAAAAATCAAAGATTCTAGCAACTTGCTACTAGTAGCAAAGGTATTTTGCAACAATTTGCTTTTAAAAATACAAAATTAGACACTGAGTTATAGAATTCTCCTTGCTCTGTCTCCATTAACAATCATAAAAAGTAGGGAGTACTGGTTCCAGTTGTAAAGAACTGTGATGCAGACATCTCTGCAGGTGGGCAGGTTAGGATGCAAAAGTTCCTCACAGGATAGAGAGTTAGGGTCAAGGTGTTCTTGGTTGCCTATCACATATTATCACAGGGTGTTCAGTCTATTCTACACCCCAGACAGTAGCCACAGGAGATTACTGTCTTAGGTACCCAGGAAGTTATTCTGCAACTTGATTAAAAATGAACCCTGGATTTTTAAAAGGGTTAACTGTTAAAATTATTTTATTCTTACAATATTAAATTATCATTTATGTTGTTTCAATACTATTGTTTTTTACTTATTACCAAAATTGAACAGAACCAACACTACTGGCCTCCACCATTTATTTTGTTGCTATGCTTTTTCAGTTTTTGATAGACTGAAGCTTTTCTGCACAGACGAGGCACTGTTTTATTGCAAGAATGTGTGGGAGCTGGAGGCATGGGAAACAGGGGTCAAGGCCACCAAGTGCAGAGTGGGAACACTATCCAGATTGAAGAAGAACATGTTGGCTGAATCCTTCTACTTAAATTATCAGTGGTCAAATAGCTGGCACTGCTGCAATTAAAATGTGCCTATTTTGAGTTTTAAGCACAATACATTGCCAGAGTGGTTTACTCTCTGTCTCTCAACTTCATCGAGACTCCACACTCAGGCAGACCAAGATTCAAAGGTTGGTTTTTCAAGGATTAAAGGAAGAAATGCATTCTAAATTAAAAAAAAAGTATTATGGGCTATAATTTTACTGTAAACAATGGCCAGGGATTGTGGAATTTTATAAAGTCTTCAGTACTAATAAATAATCAGTATGTGCAAAGCCTGAACTCACATTCTAAAAATATCTTACTCATTTTCAGACTTGGTAAGTAAAGACAATGAGAGTTTAGAACGTTAGTACTACCAGCTGTCACAGTAACTGTACACAAGCTGCTATGAAAAATCACTTTTCCAGAACAAAGCACCCAGTCTTTACAGGCAAAGGGAGCAGTATGAGTTCAGTGAGGTTCAGCACACTACATCCCTAGGCAGCACAGAGCTCAGGAGCAGCCTTGTTAGTAACAACACTAACACACAGGGGTGGTTCTAATTCCAAACAGTCAGATGAAGACAGCAGTTCAGGGCGATGACTAGGACAAGGACCATGCTAAACTTATTTGCTTTCACACCCTGAGAGAAATTCATGAATACCTAGCAAAATATTCATTGCCACCCACCTTCTGTGGTGACTGGGAGAGAAATCTCCATGCAGGCTGCAGACTGGGCTTTTCTGAAGGGGGGCCTGCCAGGCCCTCGGCGGTTTGCTCTTGAAACGTCTGCACTGGAAAGTCGCTTTCCTGAGCCGCAGCTCTGGGATGTTGGACTCGTACAGTGACCATTCACGTGATCTGGAAAGTGAATGTAACAAGTGCTAGGTAAAGTACCAGCTCCCAAAATCCAGAATGGAGATGTACGTTTTCATACTTAAGAATGGGTTAAATCAAATCTTCTGAGAATAGCTGCTTATTTGTTTTAGTAACTAATCATGTTTATGTAAAAAATAACTCACCATATCTTTAAGGTATAGTTTGAAAAAAACCAAGGGACATAGAACTGGTATGTTCTTAGAGCTGCAGATTCCACAGTATTTTGCTGACTGATGCACACAGGCAATTTAACAAGGTACTGCTAGTGACACTGTCAGCCTTGATGTTGTGTCTCCTAACAGATATCAAGTGAATTTTAACATTTTCTTTCCTTTTTTCTCTCATAAAGAACTGCAAGTACAATTTACGACAGGATAGAATTCAGAACTAGACATCTTCCCTCCCTGACTCAAAGCTGCATGAAAGAGGCATCTAACTGCCACTACTTGGGATAATTATAAAACTAGCCATAATATTGCTAAGTATTTAGTTCTTTTTATACCACATAGATTTATTTTACTGCTAAGGAAACTGACTGCTGAACAACTGGTTTGTCTGCTACAGATCTAAAGATATGAGACCAAGACCTTGGACTCCTGCTAGAGGCTGCGGTCAATCAGCACAGCATGTGCCACTGTCTAATGAGGTGAGAAACAAAACATGGCTGCTTCAAACTCTGCCTATATTCCTCTGTTCTTTGTCACTGCCAACAGGTCTTTAAACCACAGCATCCACTGATAAAGGCTTAGATCAGAGTTCAGAATTGGACCAGACTACAAAATGTTCACATGATATTTTTCTTCGTCTCATGCTAGGTGAGGCAACATGAAAAGAATTATTGAAAACAATTTTCCCTTCAGCATATGAAAGGATACACATCCAGGTATAACTGAATTAATTTTGGTCAGCAGGTTAATTTAAGTAAACAGAAGATAATAAGCAAAACAAAAATTCAGATTCATGCAAAACTGTATTTTATTCAAAACTGTAAAAGCTCAATATTATAGGTAAGGTCAAGCTTGGAGTGTCTGCCTTAATTTTAAATGTCAGGTTATTTATATCTGAGAATTAGATCAGTCTTTAAGATTTTGTATATAAATATCATATTCTGTCAACTCTCTTTGATTTGTATTGTATCCAAGGAAAAGATGAATGTTACTGTACCAAGATAAATTTATTTCTTGGTTACCATGCCACGATAGCTCCACTGTACATTATGGAAAGCTATTTCTATATTCAGACTCTATATTCAGATTCTATACCTAGTACAGTGTATAGTGTGCTATTATATGTAGTCTTTGAATGTGCAAGTCATGTCCTTTCCACGTGAAAGCAGTTCAGTCTTAATGAACAAAGTTGGAAAAAATTGTTCAGTATTACAGATTAGAAAGCAATTTAGTATCAGTACTGCATAATGAAATAGCTCTGTAGGAGACACAACTTTCATGATTTTATCATGTTTCTTCAAAACATGGCTATTAACTGAGCTAACGGCAGATATAAAACTGATGTGGGTGCCTTGTTCAATTTTTAGTTAGGAAATTTTCAAAAATATGCTGGAACTATTCATATATATCAGTAGAAAGTCCTTTGAGATCGGGGGCTTTGTTCAAGGGCACAGGCTGACTGTTCAACCTCAGCAACAGACACATCCTCATCCAGCTGCTTCCTTTCTTCAAAATTCAGTTTGTGTGAAGGTGTTTCAGCATGATATCTAATTATCTCCAGGGGGATCCTAGGAAGTGGTGAGGAACATAACAGAGTGAAAAAGAATCATATTCTGTAGAAACATCAACAACATTTATGTCTCCTTTTCCCTGAACGCTGTACAGAACGGCTACAATACAGCTAAACCCCTATTCACCATGCCACATTTTAAAAGAAATGCTTCTATGTTTCTCTTAGTACACTTGTTTGTCTCAGTGGCCTTCAAAGGCCCACATTAAACAAAAAAAATCATTAGGATCTGGGCACCTAAACCTTTAGCTGGCTTGACAATGCCTTTCTGAAGCCAGTTCCTGGGCAGAGAAAAACCCCAGGTTTCATCCTAGAAGATGTAGGGATGTCCTTTCGAGTACTGCAGTTTGTGAACTGTTAGCAAGTGCTACAACAATGAGCAGAAAAGGGATTTTAGTGATCAGCTACAAACTTTTCTATATTTTGACATTGTTTTCTTCCTCTGATTAGATATGATTTTTTTTTTTTAATGTATGCAACAAGAAGAAATGCAAGTCTTTGAGTCTTAGTAAAAACAAAAAAGACATTGTACAAAGAGTAAGGTACAGGAATCCTGACTGCAACATTTTTGTGAAGAAATGGATAAGAATGCAGCAGATAAAGACTACTCAAATCTATGAGAAAATTCTCTGTGCATATTTAAAAATTAATTTCTCAAATTTTTTATGCTATAAGCTCAGTGATACAAAACATTTCTAAAGAAAGGTTATGTACTATTTAAGAAAGGGTTCCTTACTGCATTGTCTGAAAAAAGATGAAGTGCGCAAGAAAACTGACAAGAAAAAAACATGTACTAGTTTCCTATGGAGTACTTTCTAAGGGAGACTGAGAATGTTCAAGCTCTCAGCCTTTGCCAAAATGACTGGAATGATTAATTAGCCCTCTGAGACCCAAGTCAGCTGATTCTCCTTTGTCATGACAGATGTCTTCCAATGGCCCCAAAGAACACATACAGGAGGCTTGTAAAAAATTGGCTTTTTTTCCAGCTTTGATTTGTAAGGAAGAACAACACTTTAACTTTTGTCCTTACTGGATTACTGATTTTGTCCTGTGGTCATTGGGGCTTTTCTCAGCTCAGAATTATTAATTGATATAGAGGATTAGTTGATATTGGAAACATTAATATTATTACTATTAATTAATATTAATAATATTAATTATTAATATTGGCCAGCAGTGCATGGATTGCTCTGTGCTGATGACACAGTAGTGCAACAGCTCCCAACTCTCTCTTCTTCTGGAAGAGGCAAAGAATAGTTGTCGAGAGAGAAAACTGCACAAAATGTCCCTTCTCTTTTCTACCACTGCATTTCTCATCACCTCCTATACCTTTCCATGGGTGCTGCTTCCATGAGGTCAAGGGAATTTGCATTACACTCTCTAGTGCTCCTAGATTCCTTCAGCAAGTACCACACTAATGCATTATATTTGGGCTTCTGGGCTCAGTGGACCTTATCCTTGAAGCAGTCTCCAGACGGTGTAAGAGCCATCCCACTCTGCCAGGGAAGCAGCCTTTTCTCCTGTATGTGGACAGTGAATGAAATTGCCAGGGCTCATTTTGTACATATTCTGATCATTACTTTAAAAATGTAAGGCTCATGCAAGCCATTGGAAGTAATCATAGCAGATTAACCCTCCAGTCTGTTTTATACTGATTTAACTCTATTGGTTTAATAAAGCAGCTGGTAACACAGGGTATATAAGATGCATTAAAATACATAAAAGAGAAATGAATTCAATAAAATTTTCAAATGTTCTCCATGTGCTGTTTCTACCGTGCAAGTCCTGGTTGTTTGCCTTTGTCTGGGCCCATGGCCCTACCCACACAAATTAAAAATGCTTTAGCTATCCCTGTTACCAAACAGCAGCACCATTCAGTGCTGCATGCACCTCACAGACTGCTTGACAAAAGGAAGAGAACTGTGCTGGATGTAAGGCAAGAGTATCACACAAAATACCAGTGAGATGATGAGATTACGAGAAGCTGAAGAACTAACATTAGTTACTGGGAACCTGATGAAAGATGCTTTATGAGAGATGCAATGTGCAGCATGACAGCAGCAAGCCTGTTGGATAGCCTCAAATTAATCTAAATGTTTTTGAGGTGTATTGCACAGGGAGATTATATACCTCCTGATTTTAGTTTACATGTAGTAACATGTATGTTACACGACCTGCCTGATTGCAGACATACAACTATTTTAAACTACTTGGTGACCTCTGCAAAAAAGCAAAAGGAACCAACAATTTACCAGTGAAAAGATGAACACTTGTTAAAGTCAAATGTATTGAAAATGCCAGAAAGAAAGAAGAAGCACTCATTTGCAGTTACTGCCTAGCAATATTTTACACCAGACATACGAAATCAGAAAAAAATATGAGCAATCAATTCTTTCGATTTTAATAAAGGGATAAATTAACACAGAAAAACTAGTTGAAAACCAATTCTTACTAATGATTTGAGAGAGGTTGAGAAGAAAGGAACTCAAATATGAATAAACAGAAGTATTAAATTATCATCTGAAGTTGTAAGGAAGTAATAAACAAAAGAGCAGACAAGAGGACCAGAGAGAGATGCTTTAATATGGAGTTGAAAGAACCTGAAAAATAACTCCCAGAGAATCTTCTCTGGGATTGTTGAAGAATACAATCTCTACCAATAAAGGGAGGAAAAGTTCATTTGTTTCTACTGGGAGATTTTTTTGTATTACCAATAAATTAGATTTTGAGTAACAATTATGGGGGTGACTAACCTTTATTTTTATACAGCAAAGAGATACACATTTGAATCAAGAAATAAAGAAATCTCAAACCTGTACAAATGGCCCCAAGAACAGCCTCAGGTTTCCATGTAAAATAATCAAAACTTATGTAATAGTGTCATCACTCATTAGCGAGAAAATAGACTGACATCTTAAAATTTTACCAAATTTCTTAAAATTCTTAAAAGAAAATCCCTTACAAAGTCGGGACCATCATTTCCTATTGGTGTAGTTCTGTCAGCCAGGTAGGAGAGAAGGTGCAAGCCCAAGCAGAAGAGGTTAATACAGATGCACTGCCAGCAAAAGTGTATATTTATCATCATGTCTTCATCAGTTTGAAGATGAAGGGAGAATTTCCCTAATGACATACTGCTAGTAAATTTAGGTCCACACCAAGACTATAATATGCTGTCATTGTAACATACTGCCTACTGCCTGTGCAACACAATGGCATCCTTATTACGGCAATGAACTCCTATCATG